GTTGCGGTGAGCCGAGATCGCGCAATTGAACTCCAGCCTGGGTAACAAGAGCGAAACTCCGTCAAAAAAAAAAAAAAGAAATTTAATTGCCTCGTAAACAAGCCACACACATAAAAAAAAAAACAAGAAAAAAAAAAACCAAGAAATTTAAAAAATGAAAAAGAAATAACTTGCCCTTCAGCCACAAGGAGTGTAGTTAGCTAGGATTACAGGCATGAGGCACTGCGGCCGGCCCAGCTTTGCAGAGCTGCTACTCTGCCCTCTTCCACGCTGGCCAGGCGCCACAGATGGCCACTGTGAGGGGCAGTGGTATACAACAAAGAATGTCCCTCAGGTCTACTTCAGCATTTCTCCCCTTCTCCTCCCCCATCAAGAGTGTCTATGGTTATTTTAGCTCAATTCTTTCCCCTTCTCCTCCTCCCACCCCCAGAAGGAGCTGCCTAGATGAACTGCAGCCCACTTGGCCCCCAAGCTGAAGGGTTCCTTTGTTAACCATCAATACTGGTCAGAAGGCAGAGAGTCACTAGTGTTTTTAGACAAAGGCACTATATTTCCTTACTCCTACTGACAAATTTGTTTCCCTTCTCTCCGGTACTCAGCCATAACGAATGGAAAACAAAGATATTGAAATGATAGGCAGTGTTCCATTTCTGGAATCATCTCTTCTATTGCATAGCCTGCCCTTTGAGCTTTCCTAACCACCAAGACAAATGCACGTGCTTAGCAATTATTTATTATTATTATTATTATTGGTTTTCTTGAGACAGAGTCTTGCCCTGTCGCCAGGCTGGAGTGCAGTAGTGTGATCTTGGCTCACTGCAATCTCCACCTCCTGGGTTCAAGCAATTCTGCCTCAGCCTTCGGAGTAGCTGGGATTCCAGGCATGCACCACCACGCCCAGCTAATTTTTTTGTATTTTAGTAGAGAGAGGGTTTTACCATGTTGGCCAGTATGGTCTCGATCTCCTGATCTCCTGACCTCATCTCCTGACCCACAGCGCCTGGACTGCGTAAGAATTATTAAGTGCCCCATAGTACAGTTTTATCTTTCATCCTTGCTCTATCAGTTTCCAATAATCATACCTTTGCAAAAACATCATGAAAAAAAGTGGAAACTAAGTAGGAGGACCCTAGAAATTATTTAATAAATAATAAAAGTTATAGGCCAGGTGTGGTGGCTCATGCCTGTAATCCAAGCACTTTGGAGGCAGGCGGATCACCTGAGGTGGGGAGTTCAAGATCAGCCTGACCAACATGGTGAAACCCCGTCTTTAAAAAAAAAAAAAGAAAAAGAAGATATAAAGATGGCTGGGCACGCTGGCTCATGCCTGTAATCCCAGCACTTTGGGAGGCCAAGGTAGGTGGATCATCTGAGATTAGGAGTTCGAGAGACCAGCCTGGCCAAACCCCATTTCTACTAAAAATACAAAAGTTAGCCAGGCATGGTGGTGGGCGTCTGTAATCCCAGCTACTCGGGAGGCTGAGGCAGGAGAATCGCTTGAACCTGGGAGACGGAGGTTGCAGTGAGCCAAGATTGCACGATTGCACTGCAGCCTGGGCAGCAGAGTGAGACTCTGTCTCAGAAACAAAAGAAGAGAAATATAAAAGTTAATGTGTGGTTGGGTGCAGTGGCTCATGCCTGTAATCCCAACACTTTAGGAGGCTGAGGCAGGTGGATCACCTAAGGTCCAAAGTTGGAGATCAGCTTGGCCAACATGGTGAAACCCCATCTCTACTAAAAATACAAAAGTTAACCAGGCGTGGTGGTATGCACCTGTAATCCCAGCTACTTGGGAGGCTGAAGCATGAGAATTGCTTGAATCCAGGATGTGGAGGTTGCAGTGAGCCGATATTGTACCATTGCACTCCAGCCTGGGTGACAAAGCAAGGCCCAATCTCAAAAAAAAAGTTAATGTGTAACAACTAGTTTTTAAAAAATGTGTAAAAAAGTAAAAAAAAAAAAATGTGTAGCGTGGTTATGTGTTTTATTTATATTTTTTACGTAGGACTTTTCTTCCCAAATGGAAGATCTTAGGGGCAGGAGCTTTAAAAAATATGTATTTGATGGCCAGGCATGGTGGCTCATGCCTGTAATCCCAGCACTTTGGGAGACTGAGGAGGGTGGATCACCTGAGATCGGGAGTTCGACACCAGCCTGACCAACATGGAGAAACCCCGCTTATACTAAATATACAAAATTAGCCAGGCGTGGTGGCATATGCCTGTAATCCCAGGTACTCGGGAGGCTGACGCAGGATAATCGCTTGAACCTGGGAGGCTGAGGTTGTGGTGAGCCGAGATCGTGCCATTGCACTCCAACTCGAGCAACAAGAGCAAAACTCTAGCTCAAAAAAAAAAAATGTGTGTATATATACATATGTATATCTATGTACTAAAAATGCAAAAAAAATTAGCCAAGCATGGTGGTAGGCGCCTGTAATCTCGGCTACTCAGGAGTCTGCAGCAGGAGAATTGCTTGAACCCAGGAGGTAGAGGTTGCAGTGAGCCAAGATCACACAACTGCACTCTAGCTTGTGTGACAGAGTGAGTGTGTCTCAAATATATATATATATATATATATATGTGTATATATGTGTGTGTGTGTGTGTGTGTGTGTGTGTGTGTATAAATAAATGTGACGGATTAGAAAAATGAAATGTTTGAGAAGTTTCGGAAATTTTTTTTTTTGAGACAGAGTCATGCTTTGTCATCCAGGCTGGAGTCCAGTGGCATAATTTCGGCTCACTGCAGCCTCCGCCTCTCAGGTTCAAATGATTCTCACAGCTCAGCCACCTGAATAGCTAGGTTTACAAGTGTATGCCACCACACCAAGCTAATTTTTGTATCTTTAGTAGAGACAGGGTTTTGCAGTACTGGCCAAGGTGCTCTCAAACTCCTGGCCCAAAAGGTCTGACCTCCTTGGCCTCCCCAAGTGCTGGGATTGCAGGTGTGGGCTATCGCTCCTGGCCTGGAAAAGTATTAAGAAGAAAGTAAATGTTAACCTCAATTACAGCATTCAGAGATGCCCCTCAGTATGCTAATGTTTCCTTCCTTTTTCCTAATCATTCCCTTTTTATAAAGCTGAGAACATCCTATATATATAATTTAGTAATCCTGCTTTAATTCAATATTGTATCAAAATATTTTTCTATGTCTTTTGAAATTCCTTGAAATCATTATTTTTTATGCTATTCTTCCATATGGATATTTCATGATTCACATAACCAATTCACATAATCAATAACCAATTGATAATTCTTTTTTTTCCCCAATGTTTTCCATATAGCACAGCTTTGTGACATCTTTATTTGTAATTTTTGCATGGATTCATTCATTTACTGACTGTATAACCTTAGGTGTTTAAACTCTAATTAAACACTTCATAGTAAGAGGTGATATACAATGACTGTTAAAAACATAGACTCTGGGTTCCAGTCCATCTGTGTCCTTGGGCAAGCATCTTTTAACATTTCTCTTTTTGCTTTTTATTGTTTCAAGATATGGTCTTGCTGTGTTACCCAGGTTGGTCTTGAACTCCTGGGCTCAAGCTCTCCTCCTGCCCCAGCCTCCTGAGTCTCTGGGATTACAGGTGCATGCCACTGGGCTCAGCTCAGACTTTAACCTTTCTGATTTTCACTTTGCTGACCTGAAACATGAGGATAATAGTAACAACTATCTCGCAGAATTGGTATGAGGCTGTACTAAGATCACCTATCTAAAGATGTACATAAATAACTCAGACCCTGTACTTGGTAAGGGCCCCCGTAAGTAGTAGCTATGATGGTGATGTCAGTATCCTTTTCCTAAAAATCAAATCATCGGGTCAAAAGGTATACTTGTTTTTAAAGCCCTTGTTAGATACTGCCAATTACTTTCCAGAAGGGTTATTTTCACTTACCTTCCTCTATAGAGTCTTCTTTTTGTATTTTACATCTAATTTGCTGTAGATCTTGATGTTAAAGCCAAATCAAGATCCTTGGGGACATAGTGACCCTGATAAGATTGTGATAAGATCACCTCTGGTGATCTCTGAATTTATGACCTGGCCTTAGACCTGGGCACTTTGATGCTCTGTGATTCCAGTAAAACCAGGATAACTATGCTAAATTCCATACTTAGAGTAACTCAGTTAATACTTCCAGTAACCCTGTGAAGTAGGCACTAGTTTTTTATTTATTTATTTTATTTTATTTTTAGACTAGTCAAGTGCAGTAGTGAGAAGGGGGGAAAGAGTAGAACAAGGAGCTCGATCTGTAACTGACTGTGAACAATCAATTGAGATAACTCACTACCTTCAGACCAGCCGTAGGCACTAGTTTTAAACTCCATTTTACAGATGAGGAAACTGAGACAAAGTAGTTTATTCAAGAATATACAAGGCCAGGCATGGTGGCTCACGCCTGTAATCCCAGCACTTTGGGAGGCCTAGGCGGGCGGATCATGAGGTCAATAGATCGAGACCATCCTGGCCAACATGGTGAAACCCTGTCTCTACTAAAAATACAAAAATTAGCTGGATGTGGTGGCATGTGCCTGTAATCCCAGCTACTCAGGAGGCTGAGGCAAGAGAATTGCTTGAACCTGGGAGGCGAGGTTGCAGTGAGCCGAGATCGCACCACTGCACACCAGCCTGGCGCCTGGCAACAGAGCGAGACTCTGTCTCAAAACAAACAAAAAAAAGAATATACAGGCCAGGCACAGTGGCTCACATCTGTAATCCCAGCACTTTGGGAGGCTGAGGTGGGAGGATTGCTTGAGCTCAGGAGATTGAGATCAGCTTAGGCAAGATGACGAGACCTCATCTCTCCAGAAGACATTTTTAAAAATTAGCTGGACAGGGTGGCGTATGCCTATAATCCCAACTACTGGGGATGCTAAGGCAGGAGGATCCTTTGAGTCTAGGTGTTTGAGGATGCAGTGAGCTGTGATTGTGCCACTGTTCTCCAGCCTGGATGAGAAAGCAAGACCACCCCCCGATGTCTAAAAAATAATAATTAATTAAAAATAAATTAAAAATATGAAAGGGAAAATATGTATACATAAGGAATATGCAGCTAATAAATGGTAAACCTGGGATTCAACTCCAGGAAGCCTAACACCCAGGACTTAGGCTCTCAAGCACAGTGCTCTACATGAAGTACATTCACTGGGCACAGGAAAGACAGCTGCCAAGACTGAGACCTCAAACTCATTTTCTCTTTCAGGACTTGCATGGGTATTAGGAGATGCTGAAGAACTGCCCTTTGATGATGACAAGTTTGATATTTACACCATTGCCTTTGGGATTCGGAATGTCACACACATTGATCAGGTACCAATGGCCGCATCCAGAGCTTGTGTGATTCTCAGGAAATTACCTCTGTTGTAGAGCTACAGTGAGTGAGGAAAGAAGGGGAGTTTTATTTATTTTATTTTTGAGATGGAGTCTCACTCTGTTGCCTATTTTATTTTATTTTATTTTATTTTTGAGACAGAATCTCACTCTGTTGCCCAGTTTGGAACACAGTGGTGTGATGTTGGCTCACTGCAACCTCTGCCTCCCGGGTTCAAGTATTTCTTCTGCCTCAGCCTCCCAAGTAGCTGGGATTACAGGTACCCGCTACCATGCCCAGCTAATTTTTGTATTTTTAGTAGAGATGGGGTTTCACTATGTTGGCGAGGATGGTCTTGATCTCTTGACCTCATGATCTGCCCGCCTTGGCCTCCCAAAGTGCTGGGACTATAGGCGTGAGCCACCACACCTGGCCAAGTTTTATTTTTTAAGATGGGGTCTTGCTGTGTTGCCCAGGCTGGTCTCAATCTCCTGGGCTCAAGTAGTCCTTCCACATCTGCCTCCCAAGGAACTGGTATTACAGATACCCACCACCACACCACCCAGTGAGAGACTAACACCACACAGCTGATCTCCATAGAAGTCTGTATGTCTTGGATTGGTATTCACATCTTTGGGATTTCTAGTCGTGCGCTGGCCTTTTGTGTATTTCCTCATACTTGTGAAGCTCTCGGACCCTGTGAATTTGCAGAAGATCAGAGACATGTCAGAGGCTGACAAAGACAAGGGCCCTCAAACACTATTTTGACAAAAGATAGCTGGATTCATGGCTTTTCTACAGGAAAAGGGGAATGTTCAGCTCTTAATCTGATGGAGCTCTTCTTTGTTCCTACTTTGTTTTTGTTTGGTTTTTGTGTTTTTGGAGACGGAGTCTCAATCTGTCGCCCAGGCTGGAGTGTAACGGCGATCTCGGGTCACTGCAACCTTTGCCTCCCAGGTGCAAGCGATTCTCTTGCCTTACCCTCCTGAGTAGCTGGGATTACAGGTGTGCACCACCTTGCCTGGCTAATTTTTGTATTTTTAGTAGAGACATGGTTTCACCACGTTATCAGGCTTGTCTCGAACTCCTGACCTCGTGATCTGCCTGCCTGGGCCTCCCAAAGTGTTGGGTTTACAGGCATGAGCCACCACACTGGGCCACTATTCCTACTTTATTTTTTATTTTTATTTTTTATAGAGATAGAGTTTCACCATGTTGCCTTGGCTGATGTCAAACTCCTGAGCTCAAGCAATCCTCTCGCCTCAGCCTCCCAAAATGCTGGGATTACAGGCTTGAGCCACTATGCCTGGCCTTTATTCCAACTTTAATATATTCTGTTCAAAACACTTGAAGACCATGTGCAAGGCAAAGAGTTTCATTTCAGTAACATGGTCTCCAGCTGCCTGGGTCCTCTGGTTGAATGGTATTTTTTTTTTTTTTTTTTTTTTGACACAGAGTCTTGCTCTGTTGCCCAAGCTGGAGTGCAGTAGTGCAAGTGATTCCCAAGTTCAAGTGATTCTCCTGCCTCAGCCTCCCCAGTAGTTAGGATTACAGGTGTGCGCTACTATGCCCAGCTAATTTTTGTATTTTTAGGAGAGACAGCGTTTCACCATGTTGGCAGGCTGGTCTCAAACTCCTGACCCTGTGATCCATCTGCCTCGACCTCCCAAAGTGCTAGGATTACAGGCGTGAGCCACTGTGCTTGACCATGTATGTTCTTTATGGTGTTCTTCAGTTTTGTTTGTATCACCTTTCCTATGTCAGTAGCCAGTTTATTATTTCATTGAATTAAAAAAAATTTTTTGACCGGGTGCAGAGGTTGCAGTGAGCAGAGATTAGGCCACTGCACTCCAGCCTGGGCGACAGAGTGACACTCTGTCTCAAAAATAAATAAATAAATAAATAAATAAATAAATAAATAAAATAAGTAACTGATGGGGTCAGGTTCGGTGGCTCTTGCCTATAAACCCAGCACTTTGGGAGGCTGGGGCAGGAGGACTACCTGAGCCCAGTAGTCAGAGAACAGCCTGGGCAACATGAGACCCCACCTCAAATAGTAGATAGATAGATAGATAGATAGATAACTGATCAAGCTCAGTGACACATGCCTGTAGTCTGAGCTACATGGGAGGCTCAGGCAGGAGGACTGCTTGAGCCCAGGAGTTGAAGGCTGTAGTATGATCACACCTGTGAATAGCCACTATACTGCAAGCTGGGCAACATAACAGGGAGACCTTGTCTCTAAAAAACAAAAATAAAAAACGAAGTAGTTTATATCAGTGTACCTCAGGCTTTTTTGTGTATGGATTAAAGCAGAAGGAACTTCATTACCATGTGAATTACAAATTTAAACAGGAGCGTTAGAGAAATTGGCTGTATCTCTTTCTCCTGATCTCTCAGAAGGTGAGCTGACAGCTTAATTTGGGTTTGGTGACATGGAACTTGTGGAGTCACAAGACGGTGACTCCATTTTGATGCTTAGTCTGGTCTGTTGGAACCTAGTGCAGAAACTTAGTCCAAAACAATGGCTTCCTATAATTTTTATTTTATTTTATTTATTTATTTTTTTTTGAGATGGAGTTTCGCTCTTGTTACCCAGGCTGGAGTGCAATGGCGCGATCTCGGCTCACCGCAACCTCCGCCTCCTGGGTTCAGGCAATTCTCCTGCCTCAGCCTCCTG